AAACCGTAAAAAATTGATTTTCGATGTTTTTTTTACCCTTGAATCTTCTTCGCCTTTACCCTCACCTTGGTCACTCAACAGATCTCAGATTCGAACTCTCCGCATCGAAATATCTCTAGAAATGTCTTTCTCAAAAAATTGATTTTCGATGTTTTTTTGACCCTGCGGACACACAAGCAAGCAAACAATTTATGATTACTGGGCTCTTCTCTACAAAGAAGAGAATTATGTCAATAATAATTCTTTTTGTGTTCTATTTTTATCTTTTGATATACATACATCAGATAGTTTATAACCGCCAGTTCCATGTGTACATACAATATCATCCAAAATATTCCATCCAACTGATTCTAAACTTTCAATTTGTAAATCATATTTAGCTGGATCATAATAAGATGAATCAGGACATTGATAACGATATTTATAATGTACGGGTTTAGGTTGAAAAACATATCTAAAGAAAAGATGAGTATTGATTTTTTTTCATAGTTATTTCTAATTTACTGAGGTTTAAATTGTTGAACAGTTATAACAACAGTATCTTGTGAGCGATTTTCTTCAGTTATAAGACTTATTGTATGATATATTCGACCAATATTTAATAGACGATTACAATCAGTTGGTTTATGACCAACAAGTCGAATTTTTTCAATCATTAATTTTTCAATATGCGGTGGAATTTCCATAATGACTTGAAAACCCTTTGATGAAACAAAAAATTTATTAAAAGAAAACTTCATTCATTTATTAATTACTTGTGATAAACGATGATCAATTAATTCATCAAATACTAATTTGTGTCGTTCCAATGGATCCGATCTATATAATATTAATAAATAAATACAAAAATAATTCAAATAATAAATTTACAGAATTAATTTTTCTTGATTTCCGCTTCCAGTATGTACATGTTTTCGTTTTCGTTCAAAATCAGTTAATGGTGGTAAAATAGCAAGAAGTTGATAGGAATTATATGTATAATCATGTTTCAAATATTCTTCTAATGGTGCAACATCAAATGTAGTTGGAAGAGAAGCTGGTATTGATAAAGATTTCCAATCAATACCAGTAATCATTGATGCACTCCATGGTTCAACACCAGTAGGTCCCCATATAATAGCTTCACTTTTTTCTTCTAGAAAAATACAAAAAAAAGATCAATATTTTCTAATTCATTGAAAATAAATTGAAATAGAAACAAACTTTTTGGTTTACTTGAACTATCAGCATTCGATTTTTTTGTGTTTACATTCGTCACATTAGTTCGATTATCATCAATAAAACTATCTTTACGTTCAATAGTATCACGTCTCATTTCAAAATTTGATGGACTAACAATACTGATAATAGAAAATGAATTCATTGAAATATATTTTTGAAAAGAAAACATTATTTTTATTTATTAAAATACCGTTTAGGTCGAGATGAAATTTCACTAGTTGTTTTTGAATGTTGATTTATTCGTTTTGATTTTAAACTATTTGTAATTCGTTTGGATGTACCCGGAAGTACAAGATGAGCACATGTAGTAATAGAAGCAATTATTTCACGTTTTACTGCATTTTCTCTTTCACGTAAATGATGAAAATGCCATGGGATTTTATTTGGACCTATTGGAAATGTATGTGCCCATCGACGTCGACCAGGTACCATTGGTATACGTATACTAGCTGGTGCAAATGGATTTGTTAAAGCTTTTGGTCGTGGTTGCATACGAGCATATAAATGTGATGTTAGAAAATATGTATCAGCACTTTGTGCTGCAGCACGTGAAAAACTTTGTGGATAAAATAAAACTTGTGGTGATTGATTATATGCATTATTATATGAAAGATATCCCGATATATTAGCTGATGTTGCATGTGATGTTGAAAGGACAATATCATCTTTAATATTTGTATTAAATATACGTAGATCTTCATTTATTCCAGCTATTTTATTATTAATAATTAACATTCCAGTAGGCTCTCGTGATGGTTCTTCTTCTTCGACAAGTACTGGATCTGAAATATTGAAATTATTTATTATAGGTTTTTTCTTGAAATCAATTTATTTACGTGTAGGACCCATAGTTATATTTCGCCGTCTTGCTTTTCGAGCTTCACCTTTAGCAACTCTATCTGCAAAACATGCTTGTTCAGTTGCTCTATTTATTTGAAAATCAAACAATCAAAATCAAATGAAATCTTTTTCTCATGATAAATTACCCTTTTGTTGTTGTTGTTGTTCGAAATACTTGAGCATCATATTCTTCCATAGATAAATGTACTGGTTTTGAAAATAATTCTTCCGTTATTGAATTCATAACATTTTTAACATCTATTATATATATACAATTATAAATAGATAATAAATAAAGTAAATCTTTACCTAACATTCCACCCTTAATTCTATTTGGATTAAATGATAAACGTGGAATAAAACGTTTGAATGAAGTTTTTACAGTTGACGTATGATAATAACTGAAAATCATATGAATAATTGAAAATATTTTCTCTTTATTTCAAATTAACCTTAAATTCATCCAATGTGGTATTTGATAATCATCAGCTGTATTAAGATCGGCTTTAACAAATTTAAATAATGGCACAGCGAATAACGGTTGTTCACCTAAGCAAACAAGATCACTTCCAATTCCATTATCTAATACACGTTGTTTAGTCATATTTGTTAATTCACGATCAACTTCAAATACACCAGCACCAGGTGTTATAACTAAAGACATTTGACCAAGACGATCAAATGGACGATCAATAAAATGACGTTCAAATACTAAATAAGAAATTTTCTATTTTTTATTTCAATTCTATTTTATTTCCACAAACCACTCGCTGATAAATTTAATGTCTCAAGATAATTTCCATCAGCTGCAGATGATATTGTTCCATTAGGCATTTTATCTGCTTCAGATTTTGATAATTGTTTTTTATGATAATTAACAAGATCATCTTTATAATTGACAAGTACTTGTTTGATTTTAGCTAAACGTGGTGTCCAATCATCATAACGTTCATTCTGATAGATTACACTAAATTAATCAAAAAATGGTGATATTAATTATTAAGTTCAATTTTTACCGATAGAAATCTTCATAAAATCGTCCTCGATGATCTTTATTAATATCTCGTCTTAAACTTTCAGGAAAATCATCCAAAGATTTCGCATCATAAAATACTCGAGAAAATAATGTCATTGTTACATCATGTTGACAACTCATTGTCTAAAACAAAATTATAAATAAATTTGTTTTTGCTTCATCTTCTTTATACCTTCCATCGAGTAAATAAATCAAATAGAAATCCATCAACAGCTTTTTCATAATATGTATCACCTTGATGATCAAAATCCCACATTTCTTTTGACATTTGTAAAAATATTGTACAACATGCACTTAGTGAACGAAATACAATCTAAAGAAAAACAAACCATTTGATTAAATCATAGAAAAATTTCTTTATTTTACTTTTGTATCTTTTGTTATATAACCGGAAGATACACGATATGGATGTTCAGGAATCCATAAACCATATACAGTAGCTCTTAAATAATATAAATACTTAAAATACTTATTGCAAAATTAGTTCACCTCATGCCGAATATATCCAATGTCTTCTTTAAATAAACAGTTGTATTATGTAATTTACGTGCAAAACGCCACATATCACCTCGACTAAAATACTGTTCTTTAACTTGAATTTCCACTAAGTAAAGAGAAAATGGCTAAAAACAAAATTTAATTCAATTTCTTATATTCAAAGAAAAAAAATATTGATATTAAAACCTGTTTATCAGCTATTTTTTGTACCATATAATGGCTCATCATAAAACTTATAACAGAAAATGTTTTCTTAATCGATTCATCGATGTGAATTTCTATAAATAAAAATAATTATATTAACATAAAATGAATATTATATCAAAACCTGGATGTGGTGATTGAATTAAACGTTCATCATCAAGACGATCAACTTGCATAACAAGTTTTTGTGTATCATCATCATTTAAACTTATAACAAATAAATCACCTTTAGCCAGATTTGTTTTTGGACTAACTATTGTTAATGCACTAGGATCTAAATATGAGAAAAAGAGATTTAAATGAATTATTTCTACAAATAAAATTAACTAACTTGTTCCACGTGTAAAAACAACTCGACATTTAAATCTAAATTTATAAAATATATGAAATTTTTATTATTTGACTTTATATGAACATACGGATTTCCTTCAAACACCGGTTTTTCTGGTTCAATTACATTTGATGTATTAGTTGATTCCATATTAACAAAAATAAGAAAATACTCTGTTCATACCAAAAAAAATAATAAAAAGTATTTTTGATCTAATTTGTACTTAATACAGCTGATACATGTTTTTGCTGTTGCTGATACTTAGGATAAAATTAGACCAATGAAAGAACAGCATTTTCAGTATTCGATTACTGATGACCTCTGGAGATAAAAAAATCTATATAGTTAATGTAGTTTGTTCTTTCTTAAATTCTATTTGATTTTTTGTTATAATTAAAAATATATTTATAAATTTCTGTTCAAGCATTTGAAGATATAGTTTTAAAGAATAAAATGTATTACTGTAGAAAATAATCATGACATTGTTTTACAATAATAAGAAATCTTCGGATAAATTTTATTTTATTCCTTCAATCTAGTTATTCTATATGAGTATACATTTTTGGATTCAGATTTTTAGTCATAAAATATTTTTCAACTCTTTTTTTCGTGTTCAAATATATTTGATTCAGTTCATTAGTTAAATAACACTAACAAGAGATTATACAATACATTATTTACTTATTGCAAATGCTCTAAGACTTAAAAACAACATCAAACACAATTCATGCATAGCTATCTTTTCCATCATTCTATAAACTTTATTTCGTATGTGATAATGATTGGTAGATTGTATTTAATAATGAATTCATTTATTAAAATAAAATTAAACTATTATAAATTAATATTATAACATATTAATAAAAAAAATCACTTTTTAATATCAAGAAGAGTTTGTTTTAATTGTTGAAGTGTCATTGCTTTCGATTCTAATGCTAATCGCATTGCCTAAAGTAACATATAAAATTTTATTAATTACTAAATGAATTCAATACTTACATAGCCTGATGGTGATGTATCAGAAATTAATGTCGATCTATCTATTTCATTATATTTACCAGCTTTAAATTGAAATTTTGAAAATGGATCATCTCCATGCCAACAATGAAGATGTAAACGTAAATTTTTACTAATATCATTTTTATCTTTTGATGTTACACCCTGATCTAATAATTGATCACCAACAGCTATTTTAAGATTTTCACTAGTAATAAGATGATTTATAGCTAAATGACCACCATAGAGTAAAAGAACACCAAAATGCCATTCAGGCCAAAGCTACATATATATTAAAATATAATGAAAAAACAATAAGAATTGAATAGAAATAGAAACTAACCATTACACCTAGTTTACGTTCTCTTTCTGGTGTAGTAAATTCATTCGTTACAAGATGTATCATAGCTTGTATTGTATAATTAGCCATATGATGAATCATAGATGGTGGTCCGTACCTAATAAATACAATGAATTTTTCAACTACGAATATAAATATATTAAAAGAGTTAGTTTACGATGATACAAAGTTGCCTAAGAGTTCCTTTGATAAAATAACGTACGTATCACTTTAACGACTACATTAGTTTACGTGACGTTTTTTTTTCATTTTAAACGTATTAACGCAAGATTTTATTCTGGAATCAAACAAAGTTATATAAAACTATTGAGTTTCTTACGATATCTTTAGAAATACAGTAATGACACTAATAGAGGAAAATAAAAATTCTACTAAAAACAGTATTCTAAATAATTAAAAATAGAAGACAATGTTCATTTCAATGATTATTACAATTAAATAACTTGGCATCAATGAAAGTTTTTTAATGAGAATATATTTATAGAATAAATTTTTATAAGATGTCTAGAAAACCCCTCAGTAAGTTGAGAACAAGATTAAAAAAAAGATGATTAATTATCCGAAAGAAAAAGAATAAATTTATGTGTTGTATTTTTAACAAATGATCTCGTATATTAGTTACAGACAAACTCATACGAAATGAAACTATAAAACTTTTATATAAATTAATATATAGGTTTCCTCTTCGATTGAACATTTTGTTTAGACATTAAGAATTCGGATTTATAATAGTTTGAAAGTCTATCGTATATATATATTTTACGAATAGATAAAGATTCATAGTTAGCTGAACGAGTTAAAGATTGGAAGAATACTATAAAGTTTATCTTCCGTTAGTAATTAAAAGTAGTCAAGTCAAGGAATGATTTCAATTAGAAATTTATATATTTATCGTTGATTTTCAATGAATAAATTAAATCTACCCTATAAATTTCTTACCAAGTTGATCCTAAACCATTCTTATTAGCATATGTCCAATTCATATCACGAGCAATACGTTTTAAACGTTTATTATTAAATTCTGTCGAATAACCACCACGACCAACAAGTATAGAATAATTATATGGAACATAGTATGCAAAATTATATGTTAGAAAACAATCCATATCTGTACGAAGTATAAAATCATACATAGAAAAAGATGCTTTATATTCAAAAACTGTATTAATTGAATCAATATATTCATAAGCTCGTAAATATTGATAAGTTGTTTGTGAGCGTTGTTTATCAATAGTTTGATATTTACTAGAAGGTTCATGTGTCGTTGTACGACTTTTTATACGAATATAAGGAAAAACACGACATTTAGGTTTCTCTTCTGAATTTATACGGATTTGATTATATATACAATCGAGATCTTTAAAAATTGATGCATATTCACTAGTATAAACAATTAAATCAGTTCTCCATAATATCGATTCATTTATCATCATTTCAGTCCATGAACGATAAAACCACCGGAATTCAGGTAAAAAATCTGATTCTTGATCATTCGGATAAAAAAGAAGGAGAGCTCGTAATAGACTTGATTGTGATGAAGGTTGATAGATTAATGGCAGTTTTTTTGTAATACTATTATTTCCTTTATTACCAGTTAATTGTTGACTATATGACACTTGTTTATGAACATTATATTGAATTTGACTTATACCAAAATTTACAGTCGATTGAGAGAAAGACTTGTGAAAATTTTTAGTATATAAAATAATTACTGATAATATTAACATAGAAATAATAAATAAAAAAAATATACGACGAATAAGTCTTCCAGATATATTCAATTGTAATACAGATGTCATAATTATTTTGTTTTAATGAGAAGAATAATTTCCGTATATATCACAGTTGACATGAAAATTCAGTTGAGTTTTAAAATACTAGATAGATAATTAAAAAATAATAGAAAAAATGAAAAGAAGATATCTGATCTACTACAGCGGTATTGAAGAAAACGAACATGAACAAATCATAAATAACTATACTATAAATTAAAAGGAAATCTTAAAGATAAAATCGATGTTACAGTTACATATCGTAACTAGTAGAAGAAGATGGTAGTTTTGGAAGCTCAGTATTAGTTCATTTATTTAAGAATAAAACGCGAGTATTTTGTAGGACAAGAAACGGTTACTTAGATTATTCTCATTTTTTGTAATACAACATATTCTAGGAAAATACCTAAGTGATATTTTTTCATTCATCACTTGGAAATTTCAAGACAAGTTAAAAGAGCAGAAGAAGAACGACTTAAGATAAAGAAAGGAAAAATCCCATATGAGCATATATGAAGAGAAAAAAGAAACTACCAGATAGACATATATATATATATGTGAAAGAATAGCGAACAACTAATTCATATGTTCGCTTACAATCGATTATAACATCAACCTTATCTTTACTTCACATAGAACAAATTATATGATTAGTGATAAATCAATATGAAGTATTTAGTTATATATTTAATATATAATCTTTTATAATATATTTTACTTTCATATCTTTTATTGATCTAAGCTTTTATTTGAACAATATCTCTGATGAAATCTATCCGGAAGTATATTTTCAAATTAAAAATACTTGAAAAAATATCAGAGAATGACAAGAAAAATGATAGAATTCAACGCTAAGGTATATAATATTTTATTAATATAGAGAAACAGAGGCAATATGTCTCTTTCATCTTTGATTGACTCTATCTAAGTATATTTCATCTTTGATTGATTCTGTCTAAGTATATGTATGATAATATCATTACTATTCTCGTGTATTATCTATTTAAACTTATTATATCACTTAACGAGAGCTTTTTATAGCTTAAGAATAAAAAAAACAGGAACGATAGTCATGAGAAGTAGTCATTTTACCGACTCATTTATAGAAATTACTTTATTCTCCTCTGCTAGAAACAGAAAATAAAATATTGAATCATTATTAGCACAAAATACATACTGATAGTAAAAAGAAAATATATAAATATTTTTAAAGAATAATTCATAATAAAAATAAGTAGAAACTGTTAACAATTTACTTATATTTAATAGTGTGTAAGAATTTATCATACGATTAAAATATTAACGACAAGAAAAATTCGTGACACTTTTTTTTTCCTCTCCTTTCCACTTGACATAATATTTCTATTGAAGTAAATATAAAGCTCAACTCGTTCTTACTCTATGCAAAAAAGTAAGAACAAGATAAAAAAACATAGTTCTCCTTATTTAGTATATATACGCACACACGTCTTTGGTTTATTAATTTAATCTGTATGTAATCAAATGATTGAGTATATATAAATCTAAAGAAAGTTTATAAATAGAGAATATTATTATAAAATTTCTTTTCATATATACACAAATACATGTCTATTGCATAAACCTTTATATATATATATTACTTGCAACAGTTATACAAATGCAATCAAGCAAACATATACTACCTTTTCTTCAATTGTAATTTTTAGGTTCTCGTGTGATATCTATGCAATATTTAAGATCAGTTTGCATAATAAAAAGTACATGATTTACTTCCGAAAGATTTAAGATTAACATATGTCAGCGTAAAATTTGATAAAAACAAAATATTTGCCTTTTTTTTTTCTTCTCATATAAAATTTATATATCAGTTAATATTGATAAAGACATATTCGTTTTCATTTATTATGTTATTCTTCAATCTTAATTCAAGGTCTCATTATTTAACTATTTTAGTTCATTTATATCAATAAATAACAAACATTATATCAACAAAAATAGCTAGTTGTGTTATTGTTTCCTTTACGTTTGACATTAATAAGTCGTTATGAGCAGACTCCATAGTAAATATATTTTCATATCCGTTCTTTCTATGTGGTTACTAATATAGATTTGTATAAATGAAATAAATTAGCATCTGTTGGCTTTGTACTTTTTTTCAATATAATTTCCATATATAGATCAACAATTATGATTAAAATATAAATACGAAAATGATGAGAGATCAGCAAATATTTTATATAATTTTGATGGCATTATTTTCAAAGTAAGTAAATTACTATTGAATGAAAATAAACAAGAACACTTGCTCTATTTGTTTTCCATATACTCTTATAGTCATTCACATACAATTCAAACAAAAGTAAATGAAACTGGCTCAAAACGGCGTAAATGTCAACAAGAAAATTACCTCTTGACAAAAGGCGTTTATCATACTATTGTATGAAATTCTTCATTATTTTCCATAAAAAAAAAGTCAGTTATAAATAATGTGCACAAAAATAATGAATTATTTTTATAGACTGGATGTCAACAATAAGGCCAATATTATTCTTATGTTTTTTTACTAAAGAATCAAATATCTTTAATTTAAATCTATGATAATATAGTGAATTAACTGAAAATATCTATCGAAATTATACAAGTACTTGATTTTGTAGTATGTCTGTTTCTTTGAATCCGCCAAAAGATAAATTTCAATTACAATGGGAATAGAGAGGAATTTCCAGAAATAATCACAGAATAATATTTCATAGATCCAAAAATAATACTAATATATAGCGAAAAATATACTGTCTATCATAAAATAAATACTGTAACTGATTCTGTATCCTGAATCAATAATATATTTATATATATATATTCTATTTTTACTGAAGATATCTAGTTTTTTTAAGAGAGGAGACTGATAATTAGAATCCATTTTATTGAAGTCTTTCATTTACAAGTGTAATCATTTTATCGACGCTGTTAATCTGTTCGTTGAATAGAGAGAGAAAACCATCTGACACCGGAAGTATTTTACTTTCACGCATTATGGCGAATAATCTAGTAATATTTTTCCATAGTATATTCACGTCTCGTTGATAACTGCTGAATGTCGACTCAGTACCTTCCGCTTTGTTTTGAACGTGTTGAACTAGAAAATGCTCTCCTAAGGATTTCATTGTAGCTTGCAGATCATGCACTTTCCGTCCGTTAATTGCAACTTGTTCATTGAGTAATTCTATGCGACGTTTATTTTCGACATCGTGCTCAAGCATTTCTGTTTCCATAACCTAGAATTTGCCAGTAGAATGTCGATAGTTTTTTTTTTGATGACAAAAACAACTTCATTGAATATTTTTATCACGATGGCTAATGAACTTCGGTCAAGTTTTGATCATTCATCAAGTGAATATGCTCGACTGAATCTGAAGGGAATTTTATTGATGTATCACTCACGAACTATCAAAGTCATAGTTTAATGAGATCATTACTGATTCGAGAAGATACAACTGTTGAATCAATCCTATTAAATAATCTTTCTTAATTTTTTCCATAGTACATTTAGTTAATAAACTAATGCTTTTATTTCTTATCGTGATAAAACTAAATTCTACATCACTTTTAAATCGTTGACAGACCCAACACAACAAAATACATAGAATGATTGAACAAAAATTAGAAGGAAACGTAGCTAGACTATCGTACTTCTAGACATTTATTTCTTATTCAACATCAACTATATAATTATATTTTAAATAATCAAATACTAATTGATAAACATACGTTTGTTCTATCGTAGAAATTAAAATGTAATTCTACATATGTTGTCTTCGAAATATGAATTACAAATTCCTTTCGGGTGAAGTCAATAGATGTCTCTTTTCAACCATTGTAAATTGCTCGAAAGAAAATATTCAGATTAGTTATAGAAATCATATTCACTGTAAAATAACAGGAAATATATATATCTACAGCTATATTATGAAATAAAAAATTAAATGACAAAAAATATAATTGTCATTTCTAAAGATTTTGCTATATGTCATAAAAAATTAAATTATATAATACCTTATCAATGAACTAGCTTATTTTATTAATTTATATTTAATTATCTGATTATTTTAGTCAGGAAAATCTAATTAACAAATGAAGAATTCAATATTGAAGATAGAAAAAGTTTTTTAAGCATCAAAATCTATTTCCGTTTTTGTAGTTTATTATACAATTTGACATTTCTTTCTTTTATCTTATATATGAACATATATATATAAAAGTTATAATTATGTATGTCAGTTCATCTATTGTTATGAACATACATTGGATTTTTTTCTTGTATCTTTTCGATGTCGTTTTTCTATGTACGTGCTTGTCCATAGAGAGAAAGCCAAATGAGTATGTTAAAATTAGATTATCATGATCAATCTTCTTATAGTTAAAGAGGAAAAAAATGGTCAGTCGGTCAACAGTAGCAGTCATATAGACAAGACCATCTGACACGCTTGTTGATTTCCTGTCTATCTCAATTTATGATTCAAGTGACTTTGATAACATTACTGTTACGTTTTTCATTGTTTTCATATTTCTTCGGCAAATAGAAAGAAACAGACGATCTAGTCACATAAATTCTATCGAGTCTACGATGTTCGTCAAGTGTCTTCATACGTTATGAGTTCAATTAATAATATCTATTTTTTCTTCTTTCTTTATGCTTGACAAATTACAGAGATAAAAAAATGCAGATGAGCTTTACGAAGCGAAAATAAATTTGATTATGAGCTTGTTCAGCGTATCTGACATCAGAAACATATACGCAAGGGCACTCTCTGACATAGATCAAATACGAACGACGAAAATCGGCAAAATCTATTAGTGAAGACATATCGACGGAGTCTGTTTTCTTTCTTTTTTTTATTTCTCCTGAAGAATAAATATGTAATAAGAGTTCGATTTTGGTTAGGTTTTGTCAATAGCCTAGACCCATCATCGAAATAACCAGAATAAATTTATATAGGATGTATTAATGTATCCAATTGCACGTGCATCCATCTTCGTATAGAGAATATAACGCTACCAAAGTCAACATTCTATCAGAAACTATCAGCATGATTACTGAAGAATCCTTGGCCGTAACGATGACGCTCACTCGAGCAGAATATATTTGCATTGATTAATCACATTCGTTCGATGAATTCATCTGGTTACAAAAAAGGAAATGACGCTGTGGTGCAATAGAAAAAAAAAGAAGTTTTTATTCTTCACTACGTTATAATATCAATCTGAACCTAACCAAACATGAGTCTGTCATGACTAATTATTAATTTATTCATCTATAAAAATATTCGGTGTATATAATCTATCACTAACGTCTTGTTTTCATCATTAAGAATAAATATTATCAATCAAATATATAATATTAATAATAATAAAAAAGAATATATAATCTAGGACACGAACATATCAAACAAGAATTTTTTTTTTACATGAGAATCTTCTAGTTCTCTCTTCTTTTTAGACATCATGATCATATCTTTGGCTGCTTGTTGCAAATATTTATATTCAATTTATAACATTGCTGGAGAGCGAATGAAAGATAGCAAAGAGAGAAAATATAGAGAGAGAAATAGAAACCAACTATTGGAACTTGTCGTCTTTCTCTTTCTTTTCTTTTCTCTAGTGAATTGTCGTCATAGACGTTTTCTCTCTTGTATTGCTAGCGCATCATAATAGTAGTGATGGTACTAGCGACAACAATTAGATGAGAACGAGAGGGAAGGACACAGAGAGAGAGAGAGAGAGAGAGAGAGAGAGAGCGAGAAAGAAAGAGACTCTTCTATTTGTATGACCCACATCATTCGGCAGACAAGCAAAAATTATCAATCGAAGTCATTTGATCATCAAATATATATATATATATCTAGAAGTTTTGATAGACGACGGTCTGTTTTCGGTAAGTTTTGTATGTTATTGTTATATAAGCTTAATGAGAGAGACGATTAGGACTGGTATAACAAATAGTAAACGTGAAAACATTGATCGAAGATAAAGAAAGATAATTAATAGCTATGACTTGCATTCCATCGATGTCTATTTCGAACTATATTGAATTCTTCTATTTCTGCCGAACAGACAATTTTACACTCAATTTAATATAAGAATTTTGTACTGATGACTGACGTTGGTAAGAGAATAAAAAAAATATCATTTGCGATTCAGATTGAATAGTTATTACACAATCTAGTCATACTATTTCCTTCATCGACGGAACATCATCTTATAATCATCTTGTTACTTTAGATCATTATTTCTTTTTTTTTTTGTGTTCCTCTCATTTTAACCATCTGATATTGATATTATCAATATGCAGAATATGAAAAGTTATTTTTCTTCTTGGAAACCATTTTGGAAATCAACAAATAATTCTTGTCATTCCCGAACATTAACATTGGCACCATCAAATATTAATTTTACAAGTTCAAGTTTAGGTGATTTAAGACATTCAGTCATCGATGAAAAATTAATGATTGATATATCAACAAAATTAATGGAAAGTGATTGTCCACCAAAATTACAAATATGTGCACATAATAATCAATGGTTTGCTTTAAATAATAGTCATTTACTTGTCTATCGACAATTAGAACGTATTGGTCTCTGTGATACAGTTGGTATGATGAACCAATTAATTTTGATTTTAAATATTATCTATATGTTTTATTTAGTATGCGATATCATTCGAAGTCAAGATGTACCTGTTGGTATACGACAAACACTTATACCTGTTACAACAACTGATCAAGAACAACATCATTGTTTTCAACATTCAAGACGGCGTCATAGTGATCAATATATGCTTATGGACGAAGAAGGTAAATTTGATTTCTTTTTTTTTCCTTGATGTTTAAAAATTAGTAATATTGTTATAGGACAGCAAAATCAAGATGAGATATTATATTGTGCTGATACTCAAATAGACTCATGTGGTTACTTTGAAGGTGAAGATCAATGCGATTGTAGTGTTGTAACATATGGTGAAAGTGATCATGATGAAGAATCTGAAGATGAGCAAACAGATGATAATTATGGTGGTAAGGATGAGAAGAAAATTTTCTATTGTAAAAACTTCATTGATTCTTAGAATGGCAAACAAGTCCATCAGTACCTGTTACACAAATTAGTACAATCAGTGATAATCGATTAGATGATATCGATAATGACGATGAAATCGAAGATAATCAGAAAGAGATGCAAAGTTTATTATAATCAACAAACGAGCGAGAGAGAGAAAGAAAGAAAAAAAACGCCAGGCGACTTCCTTTTTCTTCTTCTTCTTGTAATTATACCATATAGTCTTCCTCTTTTACTTTTTTCTTTCTTTCTTTTTTGTTTTTTTTTTTATTTCTTTAAAAAACAATTTATTTATTCGTTGTTGTTAGTATAAACAAACATGGATAAGATGCTAATAAAAATAAGACTTAAAATAACAGAACAAAAGAAAAAGAAGAACAAAACGAATATTATCATAATAAAAAAAAGAGAAGAAAAACAACGAGAGATATATTTTGATCTTCAATTAATAACCATAGAAAAATATTCTTTTACGAGATAATGTCTTAAAATTGTTGTATATTGCGATATTATGTGTTATATTTGCTAACACGACGATAACGTATACATGGACGACTAACACATCCAGTTAGAAATATGACGGATATGATTATAAAAATAATACCATAAAGATAAACATTATTTTTCGAATTGATAATATGTTTTGTTAAATCACCTATATTATCAACATCAGAAATCTAAAAAAAATTCAAATTTTATTTTTAATCGATAATGTAAATTAAATTTAACTTACACTACTCCATAATTCTTGTCGTTTAGATAACATATCTTTACAAGATTTCGATACCGGTTTTTTAGTTCTTAATAAACATTGTAATTGTTTACCACTTCCTATATTTGTAGAAATATTTTGTCAAAGAATTTATTCAATAAAAATTCTATTACCTATTGGAACATCATTACAATATTTGAGAATATCAGCTTGACAAGTAACTAATAGACCAGGATCGACATGTACATCAGCTCTTCCTTCTTTTATAATTCGTAGAACTTGTTTTTTACATTCTACATCAGTAAGTTTCTTTTGTTGAAATAATAATTTCAAACAATCTTCTTGATCCGAGCCGACACAAAAACTTGCAAGAGTTTTTTTACATTTTTGATAAAGTTGAACATCAAGTTGAATATCAAGTTTTGATGCTTGAACAACATCAATTATTTCTGTTACACATTGTGGTTCTAATTGATTTTTTGTATCAGCATATTTTGAACGTAAACATTCAATGACACGACCACCCATATCACGATCTTGAACTTCATCTGATTCTTCTATATATTTAAATGAAAATTTTCAATAAATTATTATTAAGAAAATATATTTTACCTTTATTTTTGTCATTATCATCATTTGATTCATCAGCAAGATCATCATCAGTAATTATTACATTTGAACAAAATTTAGTAACATCTCGATGACAATTAGTGATTAAATCTTTATGAAATCGAGCATCTAAATTAAAAGAAAATAATCGATTTTATTCTTATTTCATAAAATATGAACAGAACGAATGATGAGGGGTTATTTTGATTATTTAATTTCATTATAATATATGATGAAAAATAAAGAGACTTGTTTTCCCCATTTGCTAATTAGATTGGAGAATATTGCCTTTGGAGAATAATATTTTTCTTCGTATTTTTCCTATCATCATTTATTTATCTCATCCATTTTTATTGCCTTCTTGATTAAGTATATAACACATTAAAATTATAGTTTTTGAAAAAAAAAGAAAACGTTTTTTTTATCATAGTCTAAAAAGTTCTTCTTTTTTTTTATATTAACCCTTTAATGGAAAAGATGTGTTTTCTAAACAAGATATAAAGTATCTTTTAACCTTGAATAGAATCAAGAACGATTTTTTTTCTCGATGTTATATTGTATATAGGAAATGCAAATTGTTCAATCATAAAAAGATTATAGTCTTCATATATATTCAATAA